TCAAAAACTTCAACTTCGTACGGAGACTAGCTTTCCGGGATTGGGCTGTCCACTTGCATGCGTGGCCTCTTGTGACAATTCCGAGCCAAGAGTGCACAGTATGCTGGCGGCACCCAACACTGGACAACACCTTATGAAATTGGCCAGCGGCCACCCGCACTTCTCACATTCCAAAGGGTTGCAGCTTTTATGCATGTCTGCACGACGGCATCTAGCAATTTTTGCTGGTGATCCATGCAATCCCAAACACTTGCAAAACAGTTCATTGAGGTCCGAGGCGCTCCGTGTTACAGTGCGCCAGGCCAACTTGCGCAAGATTTTGCTACTGTTGCATCTCACAGCTGACTCCGACCTGCTCATGCTCCTGCGAGACTAGAGGGGTGCAGTCACCATCGGTCAACACAGATCAGCACAGTGTCTACTGCAAGCAGTTTGCATGGCATGCAGCAGCTCGAGCAAAAAGAAGAACCTCTCCTTACCCAGCAGTCTCCACGGCACCGGCTTCGTGGACATCCTTTTCAGCTGAGGGCACACTCGTCTCCGCAATCTCCGGCTTGGGGGTGTCTTCCTTGTCTTTCTGGGCAGCAGCTACCGCTGCGTATAGGTGCCGCTTGTAGGCATCACGGCCCTCTTTGTCAATGCTTGCCGCCGAGCCCATAGCAAAAGTAGGCTGAATCAGGAAAGCTCGTCTGAAGCCAAATGGCCAAATCATGTTCATGGGTACTCTGCATACGCTGCTCTGCTATCCCAGATGCTGAAACCGCTGAGACCTGACAAGTCCAATTCACCAGAGCTGCCAAAAGCAGACACACCTCTGTAGTTGCAGAGCGAGGGAGACTTTTACGGCGAACTGCTTATGGGCCAGCTGGGTGGATTCACGTCAATTGAATTTCTCAAGTCTGATAAAACCAACACCTGCTTGACTGTGCTGAATCCACCAAAGTTGGCAGTGCTCGGATCGAGTCGCCATGAGGCCACACCCACAGTGGCTGAAAACATCTGCACACTCACTCACTCCGCCAAAAGGACGCTGGGTAACAGTACGGAAGAAACGTCATGTGTCAGCCTGAAACTTTGCCTCCTCTCACACGCGAATTAACATGCAGCTTTGCCATGAACCGAATTACAAGTACAAGCGCACACGCATGTTGCACACCACAACTCCATGCAAAGCACTTCGACAGCATGGCTTTGCTCGCTCTGAAACAAGATCAACATGGGCGGGAACCGAAAACGAAGTGAAAGTATTAAAGTAAGAGGCATCAGCGCCTTAGACATGACTCAGAATCGCGCTGGTATTCATACGAGCTCATGCAACACTTTGTAAGCCATGCATCAGTTTAAAAAACCAACAACTCTGCTGAACCGGAGGCAAGACAGCATTCACAGGTTGTACGGCTGCACATTCACGGCATAATTGTGAAGGGCTCATGCTACACTGCAGGCCTCCGATCCAGACTGCGGGCATGAGCCCATGTCAACCATAGTGGTCAGCACTCAAGCTGTCCATTCGGCTCTCTTCAGAGTCCACAAGGACAGCATCTCTCAGCCACTCTGCTTGCGGCAAAACCTTGGGACTCCGTGCCAACAGGAGGCTGTTGGATGTATGAAATGTCATGGCATCAATCCCCAGATGCTGAGAGCAATGCCGGAAAAGATCACTTCTTGGCCCTGAGAGCCGTCGTGTCCACTCGCAAGGCATGCAAACCTTGAATGATCCGCAGGCGGACAGGAGGTGCCTCTTCTTGAGGTGCTTCACAATCTTGCCGGTAACCGGATCGATGAAACCATGTGCATCTATGGTGCATCCACACCTGAGCACGCGCGTCAGGGTGTCTAGGATCCCCACATAACAAATGCGCATCTAACAAAGAGCAACTCCAAGAGAAAAAGCGGCAAAATCTGAGAGCGCTTTCCCGAACAAGGCTAGTTTTCAATTGTAGGTGTCATAGTAGGCACAAAGCAGATTGCTCCCTGAGCGACTGACGTGTAGGTATCTGTCAGGACGGCCAGGCACCTTCAAGCAGGGCCCCGATGAACAAGGGTGTGTTATGACGGGGGTATGCTTGTCGAGGAGTTCGGGATACATCCGTTTGGGTTTGAGAACCTCTCCGAACAAAGTACCCTGGTGGCAGGGGTCACGGGGACGGAACCTCTTGGAGCGGCTAATGCAGGTTTGCTTTGAGAAGGGTTCGATCTCACAGAATCAAGCAGCACAGATGAGTGTCTCTCACGTCTTAGGCTTCCACTTGAAACAGAACTTCGTTCCGCAGTTTCGGCAGCCTCGAGGCCAGAGATTATTGTGCGGCAACGATTTTTGTGATGTGGATTTTGTGGGTGAAGAACTCACATTCCTCTCAGGGCCCCGGCTCATCTTGTGGCACTCAGAATACTGAGTCTTCTGTTTGTCAAGATTCTGCTTGGTCACCTGGCCATGCCATCAGTAAATCAGCCCTACATGCAAACGCCGATCTTGGTCAACAGGGCGGGAAGACAGCCATTCGGCATGTGGGGCACTGCTTGGAGCCTGTCTTTTCCATCCACTGCTCGAAGAGCTGATCAGCCTCTCGGGCGTCACCAAACTTGTGCCAACCCGTTTTGGCCCCCAGGCAACGATCTCAATAGGCCGATCTAGTGAAAGGCTCTCTGCGCCTGTCGCTCCTTCTTTGCAGCCTTGGTATTGTTCTTCAACTTCTCAGCGTATTCCTTCAGCTTCACGACATATCCAGAACAGGAAGTCAGACATGCATGACAAAGCTCTGCCAGAACTCATGCATCGTCTCTCCTCGCAAGTCAGCCCTCTGTGGAAGGGCTGCCGACCACAGCGCAGGCCTGGCCATGCGAACAACTCGCAGACTGTGGGATCATTTTGCAGGCTACTGGGTGTCTTCGCGCAGATTCACCAGTGATCTGTATAACAACGCCACTGCAAACTTCCTTTCCCAGGAATTGAGTGGAAACATGCTTCACCAAACACTTCCTGTCGGTGTCCACATAAGCAAGAGCCGGCATGGCATGACTCCTTCTTGCAAATGGTACACTTGAACCTGCGGCACAGATCCAATCTCCCTCTGCGCTTAGCATCGTGAAGCATGTCGCCATGCTCTCGCCATGGCCTAGTGATGTCACCCTCTTCCACAGCGACCCTCATCACGCAATTCCTCGGGAGGGGCGCCGGCCCATTGCAAAACTATTCTGGATGCTCTGATGACTCTGATGCGAATGGCTTAGCTGCGTGCGGCGTTGGGCATGCGCGAATGTCAGCTGCGCAGGACACGGCCTGCTCGAGGCTGCGAGCCTGCACGTCAGAAGAAAACTCGCATGATACGATACGTGAATGGGATCTAATTGCGCCCGCATCATTACCAGTGTCTCCTCAAATCGGCACAGACGGAGGAAAGATCACATCGGAGTCACAGCACATTTTCAAGTGGAAAGAGCTCCCTAGTGTCGACATCAGGTATCACTCATCCAGGTCGGCAGGCCAAAAGTCGGTCGATGGTTTCCGTAGGGAGGAGCTTCCTCCCAGAAAGCAGCTGCGGGTTTGTCGTCCAAAACCAAGGAGCTTGTCGGAAATCGTGCTAGCATGTACCAGCTTATACTGCAACAACAGCAGCAGTATGCAGAATAGAGATGGACAACAGGAATCTGACTGACTTTCAGGCACAATTCTCCTCAAATCACGTTCAGGAAGGACCGATGAGCACTCAGGACCTCAAGTTTGATCAGGCAACTTAATGCAACTCACAAGAATTGACAGCAACACTGTGGAGTGTGAACTGCCCGACTCTAGGCAGCGCGCAAGTGATGGCCGAAGCACCGTTGTCCAGGCGAGCCTGCTGCTGTTGTGCGGAAGACTTCACATAACAAGCTCTCTCACACAGGTGCACCTCAGCATGCCGCAGCATGCAAGACGCCTTAATTTTCAAGCAACCACGCAGGCTCGTTCAACACCCCTTCCACTGGTCTGAGCGTCCCGGCGCAGTACCAGCCGTGACCACACCCCAGGCGAACGGAGCGCCAGGGCGAAGTGTCACAACAGCAGATCTCAGAACGTGCAGGCTCGACGGAAGCTTTCAAAGACTGCTGTTGCACTAACCTTCCTCGGCAAATGCTTTTCTTCCTTGTGCTAAAGATCCGGAACAGCTTCCAAGGCACCACCGAAAAGTACTGAAGGTCAAGATGTACAATCCTGCCTTGCACACGTCAGCATTGCAGTTCAGGCGCATGGCTTGCCTGCAAAGGCTGAACTGCGCATGAGGTTTGAGAACGCATGTATTTGTGCTAACATCAATGTCCACACCCACAAGGGTACAACTCTAAATTTGAAACCATCTTCTCTTCCTTCCTCCCACCAAACACTGCAGAGGAAACAACAACAGCTTGGGTTTGGGCGGACTTCGGCAGCCATCGAGCTGGCACAAGACAACAGAGCTGTCAGCATGGAGCAATTACCGTAACAGTAGAGCCCACTGCGAACGATAATAATGAAGGCAGTCGTTTCATAAGTCGCCCTTACCTTCCAGAAGTAAGAAGAAAAAACGAAGACTCCAACTGGCCATGCGCAAGCTTTGCGCAATGAGGCATTATTCCCAGCCCACGAAGGCCTACATAGATAAGATGTGGTTCTCTTGAGGCACACAGCCAAAATTCAAAAGGTTTTACAAGCTTCCCACCTGCGGGGTGCGTAGAAAACCTTTTTCTTCATTCCCCTGTCAGCCATGTGTATGGACTCCTTTCAGCCCGCGACACTATTTGTTTGCTCTACTGCAAAGTCCTTCCGAGACAGTTGGTGTGCCGTGTTTAATCAGATTGAATGAAGTGGCCACAAGTTGGAGTAGGTAAACAAGGCCAGACCACTGACGATCTGGAAGGGGTAGGCACCCGATCCATCGCCGAGGCGCCTTCCTGGCAAAAGTACTAGCAGCCACAGCCTAATAGCTACTCTCAGGACTTCCAAGCACTGTTTCGCCCGCTCTGCTTTTTTGTTCACTGCTGAATCAAGCATACAGGAATGCATCTGTTCTCGAGGAGTAGAACGGCTGCACAATTGAGGTGAACGGCTTGACGTCCTGCAATCAGATTTAGTGACAGGAACCTCCAAATCCAGAACCTGTTTAAGCCCTGCCACAGCCATCTGCAGCCATCTACGGCAAGTGAGTTGCCAATAACATCCATTGCAGTCCTTCCTTCCAGTCCTCAGCAGGCTCTCATGTTATGCAAAGAGTACAAGCATGCTGCATACGCATGCACACCCTCTGGAGTCTAGAAGGTCTGCAACACTGTGCCATCCTGCAGGACTCTAGCTTGCAGTCAGGCAGCAGGAAAGTGAAAAGGTCCGTGCCAAATGTTTGGCAGTTCTTGCGCAGTGTCTCGTACTCGGGAACAGCATTGATGTAGTTCAGAAGGTAGCCAGCAATGTGCCCAGGAGCGCGCAATCTCAGCCGCACCTGCACGTGGCATGATGCCAAAACAGTTTTGCATTTTGCAACAGAAAACAGGCTGGCAGAATTAAGTCGCAGCGTGCCTCCGCTGATGCATAAAGGACGGGAGCTTTGAATCTTAAGTCGCTCGCCGCTAGCTCGCCCCCCTCACTGTACCTCTTCGGGGAGCACTCTGATACACTCAGCTGAGACCTCCATACTCAACTTTACTAGTCATCTGCCGTAGAGTCGCTCAACTGTCTTTCAAGAAATCAAAACTTTGTACCCTATAGCAAGCGGCAATGGCTACGTTGAGCAGAACTGCTTCATTCAAATGGGCTAAGCGGTTTCTCACCTGCCTGTTGAGGTACCGCTGCAGCTCGTCCTTCGTCTTGATCGGCATGTCGATCATGCGGATTTCACCCATAGATGAGTTCCAGCTCCCGCACATGGAACCAGTCATCGCTCTGTATATTTCTGGCATTTTCTCGAGTTTATCCTTGACCCAGTTGCTCTTCCCACCTCCAGGCAAATGAGCAGCAGCTGGTAGCCATGGAAAGTATGTGTGTCCAGGTATGTACCACGACGAGTATCCGAACTGCTCATCTATTGTGTGACATGTACTCCGAGTATCCTTGCAAAAGGACCATGTTAGATTCCTAAGACACCTGATAGCTCGTCTTAGTGTGCTCGGATTGACCGATTTGGTACACCTGCCCGCCGTAGCCACCAATTCCGTTCAGCCATGCCAGCTCTACAAGAGTCAAGAACTGCCCGTGGGACCACTCCAAAGCCACCTGAGACCAGCAACTATAGGTAAGTTCTTCTAGATAAGTCAAAAACCACTGTCGAGCGCAGAAAGCACATGCTGTGCTGCTTGGCACCGCGACATGCCACGTCTGCTGATCCCGAAGCGTCTCGCTCTCTACAGGGTAGCGGTGTGCGATGGCATGCGCGCGCACTGCCGTCACATCCGCATATTGAGCCATGGCCAGGGGCACCAGCAGCTCTCCGAAACTGCAGCGGCCAGGCCCTTCTGCCGACTGACAGGCCTGTGGCGTAAACCACCACAGAAAGCCCGGTGAATCTGGGGACCAGCCCTGGCGCAAGGTACCAAGCACGAACTAGGACTCTGAGACTCTTTGCTTCACAGCTTGGTGCACGTCCAGCAAATATTGTCGTTATCTTCTAGTCATGTTCTCGTCGTTTGGGCTAGTCCTGTTCTCGTCCCGTTTTTGCCATTTCTTATGTTCTTTTCATTTGGCCTAGTCATGTTCTTATCATCCGTTTCTCATTTCCCATCCATGTGCCATTTCTTAATTAGTCATTGGCCTGGTCACTCTCATGTTATGAACTCCCCCAAGACATCCCAAGACATTATAGAGTTGGCCTTTGTTTCTCAATTGGAGCAATTTTCTGGTATTGCGGAGAATGCTTGTACAAAGCTTCAGCTCAAGTGTTGGTTCCCTATCTATGCCGCGGTGTTGCAGCCAGAAAGTCTTGGAGCTAGGGTGTCTGGGCAGTTTGGGGGGATTGCGGGAGGCCCAAGGGCTCCCAACATGGCTGGCAAATGACCTGGTCCCAGACCAGGGCTTTCAAACAATGACGAGCAACTGGCTGGAACCTTATCAAAAAATGGCGAATACAGTAGTAAAGATGCCTGAAATCCTAGAAAGCCCAGGGTTTCTCAGGATTCTAGTCTGTTTTAATCATGATGCTATCTGGTTTAATATTGTTTTTCGTCATGCTTGTATTTTCTAATCATGGTTTCATGTGTTCATCATGTATGACCATTCTCCAATAACTTCTGGAGCCCTGGTCTGGGACCTAGACCTAATCATGTCCAGTCATTTTGGAAGCCTGCACCCCCCACCCTCCGCCCAACCGCCCTCCCCCCACCCTACCACACCCCCAAAAAACCCTAGCCTCTCCTTTTTTTGGGAGCATCCAACGTGCCCAGACCTCGCTGTGCGACCCACAATCACCCACAAGGTTTATTCAGGAAATAACTACTATAGTAGTTTCCATTTTTCCATTATCCCTATATAACCCCTATAGAATCCCTTCCTATATAATCCCCTATCACATGCATGAGGCTGAGGAAGGAGAGACTGTCACGCACATGACAATGGAAAGAGAGAATGGCAGCACAAATGTCTAGCAAACAGCCCAAGGAAAGAGATGCCAACACCACAATGCCTTGAGACTTCCAAGCTCTAAAGGCCCGAGAATCATATAACACTAGGAGAATATCATGGATCCTTCAACTTGCGCAACAGCTACAGGGACATGTGTGTCAGCATAAGAAGCCATGCCTTTGCATTTGCAGGCCCACCCCGATGCCTTCTTCATCCAAGATGGTGCCAGGAATGTAGCCCGACATCTCCCAGGGAGTTCCTTCGGAAGCTCGTCCCCCTCCTTCCATATCCGTTTTACTTCTGTCATCATCGGGAGAATGCCTGAGAGCAGTTCATGACCAGCAATCTCAGTGCCACAACCCCTGCGGTTGCCAAGGTGGCGGGGAGTGTTGCAGCACATGCTGAAATGGCTCCCCAATGCCAGCCTCTCGGCTTCATGGTGATACTCCGCAGCTGCAGATTGACAAGACTGGGCCAGTCATTTAGTGGACCTGCCAGTAAAACAGGTACTTGAATCACGGAAACTATAGGTAGGACGATGTAGGACGCTCAGGGTACCTGCACTGCTTGGAAACTTCTCAACACCATCCGCTACCAGACCTGGAAGAATCCAGCAGTCACCCTGCTTGGTCAGCTGTGAGAGGAGGTCAGATGCCCGGATAACCGGCATTGGCCGTCGTGGCTTCACGTTGCCCTCTTTGTCGCAGTCCCGCGGATGTCTGTAGTCATCGGTGAAGACCTGCTTGCCAGGGAGACTGTTCTTTTGTTGCCGAATTGTGCGCGGACACCTTGGCATGCCAAACCATGCCGCCATCCATGTCACCTGGCTCTGAGTCTTGCGCACCTCTTCGGAGACAGGTCAAGTCGCAACAACCGAGGCCACGGCTGACATGGACCACAGCTGGCTGGGTTTTAGCTGCATCTTTGGCAGATTCGGGATATCCGCTGTCCTCAGACTGCGTCTCATCGTCGGAGTCCACTTGCAGAAATCCTGGCAATGCTCATCATCACTCCGCACGGTCACTAGCAGACCTACTGCCCTACCCCCCAAGTCCCAAAACAACAAGCTTAGTTTTATGCAAGCTGCCTGACTCAGGCGGCGGGAAACTTGAGCCTCTCCGCCTCAGCTGCGGCTGCTCCACCTCGGGAAGATCCTTTGTTCCCGGCGCAGACACGGCCATCGAGCCGCAGAGACAGCTCGTCGATGAATTTAAAGGGGCGAGCCAAATGCTAAAAAGCAGTTGGCCATGCAATTTCATGCCGAAGGTCTCCAGGCTCCAGACTAGCTGCAAAAAATGCAAGAAAATGTCCTGTCGCATCTTCTTGCCATTGGCGCTGCCCTGCAATGCAGCAACTCTGGCAGCAGATCTACTGCGCCTCGCAGAGAACCCTGACTGATCCTCACTCTCATTTTCCTGGTTTTGTTGAAGATGCCAATTACGTAGCATTTCTTCTGCTCTGACAAAGCGTATCTGCCTGATGTTTGCCATGGCTGTTCACTCCAGTTTTGCTTCCCGCCTGCTCCTCTGTTGTGCGCTTTCGCACAGGTGATCTGGCAGCCCTAGTTTGCAGCATCTAGGAACTCTGACTCCGGTGATGCTGTGGATTTGTTTCTAGGGTGCCCCACCCTCCGAAGTGCACAGAGGAAAGGTAGTCGGTGATATTCCGGCATTCCGGCCTGCTGATAGACATACAAATGCGAAGCGCAATGCAGACGCGGCACATGCTTTGCTGCGGCTGGCAACTTCTGAGGCTTTAAGGTGTGGGCCGAAGGATACTGAGTGAGGCCTCCAACCTGCATGTTGTGCAAGTGCTGAAATTCAAGAGCGACTTCCAACTTGAAAGAGCGATGCATGTCAACGGCCGCAGAGATGCCTCAGGTTCTCATAGATCTTTGGCCATCGAGCCGCTGCCTGGAAGTACCAGCTCATTCGAGGCGGCACGGTGACACTTCCGAACATGCGGGGCATCAAACAGGAAGTTTTTGGAGCGTTTGCCCTGCTGGAGCCCAAGTTTTCTCCCACCGCACAAGGCGGCACGATGAGTAACATGCAGGCTTGAGTCTGTTTGCGCAGTTTGCATTGTCAGGCTGGCAGCGTTTGGCATACTGTACAAGTCCCAGCGATCGACCAGCTTGCCTCCTTCCACCACTTCATGCCCTGCTCATTGGGCTCAATTGGCCGAACAGGCACTGGTGGAGGTAAAGGTTCCTGACATCGCGGGCTTTGGAAACAGCTGCCAACAGCAACTGAAGTCAGCCGTTGAAATCAGCAGAGTCCGAGCCTCCTCGGCTTTGCCTTCTTCGCCTTCTTCGCCTTGCCTCAGCGTTTCCACTTCTCCACTTCAGTTGCCAACTCCAGTTGCCGAGCTGCAAAGACATCTCTCAGAAACAAACAGCTTCAGCTCTGGCTGGTCAACCGGCGTTGGAGCAGCCACACTGTCACCTCAGTCACCACTTGTCCGTCCTGCTCTATGGCTACACAACTCCGCTGCTGTAGCAGGACTATCTCTGTGCTTACCACAAGTGAACTTCCAATACTGCCTGTGTCGGGGTATAGCCAATGGCATTAACCCGTCAAGATTTCACATGCCCAGACGTAAGCGCCGGCACCCGAAGAAAGCGTCTCGGCCATTTCAGATGGCGTGGGCCTTAAAATTCTTAAAGAAAGCATGCTCAGCACACCTAGACATCGATGAAATATGCATAGGCCTACTGCCGATAATCAGTTTTCTGGGCTCAGCCATCTTCGCATGTTCGGAAAGCATCGAAAATGTCAAAAAGCGAAGTACAAGCTCGTTCGCTGACCTTTCCGACGAAACCTGCCCAAGGACGACACGCGGCAGATGCAGACAACTCCTGCAGCAAGGGGTGGATGGACTCCTTCAGCCCTTGAAAACCCATGATGAAGCATGAGTTCTCGGACCCAAACACTTTCATTACAATGGTACTGGCCGATTCACAGACTCTCAGGTCAAGCAGGCAAAGCTTTACTTACTGTAAAACAGCTCTGTTGAACGCAAGCCGTTTACTTGCAACAAAGAAGTCCTCGCAAGACTTGAACTTTGTTTGCCGCTCACTGACGCGTTGTAGCAGCGTCGAGTGGCCAACTGTTAACGGCACCTGCCGCTTCTCATGATTCCTTTGGCTTCTGGACAGTGATTCACACAGCACCTCACTCAGCTGTGACCTCTTTTTCGCTGACCCTTTTGACTACGTGACCACCATCCTCCACCGTTTCTGAGCGAAGTCGAGACTAGTTGCTTTCGATTGCATTATACTGCATCATCATGTGGCCTCATCCATTGTGGGTGTGCCTTTCTGCGCAGTGCAGGGTACTCCGGCCACACTTCCCTGAGCAGTCAACAAATCGTCTAAGGTGACATCAGCAAGCTGGCATTGTCGCGGCGCGAAGGGCATGGACTGAGCCACAGACGGTCAGGGCCTTCTTCCCCGTCGCGCGCCGACGTGGCCTTCGGCAGTTTGGTTCTTGTGGACTGCTCGGGGAAGGTTCTTGCAACTTTTAGCGCTTTGTTTTCCGGCATACCCAGTGTGCATGCTACGGCATGCCGGCAATCGCTAGGACCCCACGGATCAAGCCATGTTGATGCACCAACTTCGCTGCAAGGTAACAAACGCCTGTCAGGGGCCGCATGGGTTGTCGAGTCATGCACCTGGCTGCCATATAGCAAAAACCATGAGCGTAAGGACATCTGCCAATCCCCCTTCAAGTGCATGCAGCCTAGGGACACGCAAGGAGAGTTAACCAAGCTGACCTTCAAGAAACTCTATTCATTGCAAGTCAAAGGCGTATTCGCCTTACTCTGCTTGTGCTCCGGGTTGAGGAACAGCAAGGCCTCCAACTGCTTGATCTGAATAGTATGCTGATGCTGTATGCTTGCAGATTTAATTCTCACAAAGTTGTCAATTTATTGCCTTTCAGGTCGACTCTACGACATTCTGCGACAACATGGCCCAAGCCAACGCCCCTGCCTCCTCGAGTGTAGAGCAGGACTTGATCGCCTCCTGAACGCTGGCCTCCGTGGAGAAATGCGAACAGCAATGGAAATTCAGGTAGCCAGATGACGTTGGAAAACTGCACCGCCACCAGATCAAGATTAGATCTCCTGCCTCTGCGTAGCCCTGCTCAATGAGTGCCTCAGCAATGTCGACGTTCATCCTCGAGCAAACCATCCGTCCTGCCGCGGCGAGTCAGGCAATGAGCTCGGGCTGGATTCAAAGCTATCAATGCGCCAGTTGCGCCACAAGTCGTGGACGTCTCTAAGGCTGGCTTCTTGCTGCCTTGAGCCCAAACCGCTGAAGGAAGGTTCCAGTGCGGAAAGCAGCTGCAGCTGGCATGCATGCTAGAAGCATGATCAGGGTTGTAGATGTCCTAGGAATCTGATGTTGATGACAACTTGCCCTGCGTGAATCTCGTTAAGATCAAACACGTCACCCCAAACCATCATGAATTTGGATGCCCAGGGCTCCAAACATATGCGCCAAGGACCGCTGAGACATTGCGTTTTCCTGCTGGGATGCTCGTAGCTGATGTGGAAGGCGAGAAGCTGTGGTGAGATGACCAAGCAGCGCTAGCTCGCCGAGAATGGGGCGTCGGTCAGCACCAGTGAACATATGTGAAGCAACAAATTTGCGGTGTGATCTGCATTCTTAACATCGCATGCTGATGTTGCGCAGCTTCTTCTGCACATTGCAGTCGCGTGGCACTTGTGACTCCTAGCTGTTCTCTACTGCAAGAGCTGAGGTTGCAGCTCGGTCTTTTTCGAGGCCTGACTTGTCCTCCCTGTCAGATTGCCTCACCTTACTCTTTAAAGCTAGACTGCCGTTCCTTATCCACTCTGACCTTAACATCCCTAAGCATTAACTCCAGCGCGTCAGCTGCCTTGAGGAGCAGCCTGACAGATTTTGCATTGCCGTCAACTCTTAATGTCTTCCTTGGGAACAACACGCCCTGTACCGGCCTCCTAAGCAACGCCAGCTGGTCTTCTCTCCTGTCACATGGCTATTTGGCAAGGCGCCAGCAAAATTGGTGATTGTTTGGATATCCCATGGGATTCTCTCCCCCGAGAAATGGAGTCTACCACGGCTAACAATCTTGACAGTTCAGTGTTCAAGTCTAGTCCACAAATTGCAGAAGTACCATTTCTTGCTTCGACGTGTCCGATTGTATCAGTGGAACAGAAAGTGGAAACTACTATTTAGGATTTAGGTTTTGTGGCCATCCGGGTCTTAGGCAGCCACACTGCTCTTGAGCATCCCTCCGAAGGAATGACAAGCCCTTTGCATGGCTGAGACTCGTTGCATGTGTAAAACCGTGATGGAACCACTACATTGCATCTCTGCAGATACTGAAACCCACGGGAACGTCTCCTGGTCCCGCTCGATGAAGCGAGCTGTGCCGATGGCAACCTTCATCTGCTGGAAGCGGTCGAAGGTTATGCCAGCCATGCCTGGTACTCAGGTCCAGCGCCGTGCTAAGAGTGCAATGTCTCTCATGGTCGGGTGAACGTATCAAGAATCAACACAGCACATGGAGCCCCTTGTCTTGGCACTGTCCAGCCAAGAGGATTGGAATACACCCACCCCTCGGGACAAGGCCTGGCGGCACCCAGTTTCGCCATAGCCTTTCCTGGGCTACACGTCTGGGATGTTGCCAAACTGACTAATCCCAAATTCCAGGAACCTGCATGTAATTCAGAAAAAAATCTTTTAGTCCGGTGGAATTACATAAGAGGGATGATAGGAGATTGGTTGTCAGATTGGTCAAGTGCCTGTTCCAGATCATTTGAACTATCATCAAACGCAGGAAGCAGTACTGAAGATGCATAGGACTCCCACCAGCGCATACACTCCACATAGACTCTAACATCTGGCATAATACCCGATGCGAGTTTTCCTCAAATTCTAGGTCTCCTTTTGGCTGTGCCCACTCGGGACTACATAACTTTCAGGGTAGTCTGGGAGATTGAATTGTTTTCGCAGGCCATTCTTTGTAGCATTTGTCGCAGAGTAGCCAAGCAGGACTCCGCCGGGGTGAATTCAAACTCACCTGCACACATGCGAGTTGTTCAAGACAACGTTCCTGTAGCGAAAGTGGAAGAAACACGATTAAAATGCATTATAGGGGGTGTCCGTTTTAGGGATCTTTTATGTGAGAGTTATGTGAGAGTTAATGTAAGTTTATTCAGGCGCTGATCGAAAACAAGGGGCCTTTAGGACTCTGCGTCATCATCTGATCCTGACCCTATCAAGGAGCTCTGTTTCAATGTTCGTGGCCTGGCACTGATAGGGAACGAGGATGGCTCGGCGTATGGGACGCATAGGGAAATCTCACAAGGATATGGAACAAAGGGGTCTGGGTCGGTACGAAAGAATGTGATCCAGAGGGTCTGGAATGGTGCATGGAACGGAAGACTTCGCTGCCACAAACGTAGAGATAAACTCCCATGAAAACACTTCCACATGTCTCGTGTGATCACAAGGAAGCTGCTGCAGCGCAGCTCATCCTCGAAGTCTGCGTGCAACTGGGAACTAGGATGTCAAACAGGGAGTGATACCATAATTAGAGCGCATGGATTCATGGGCAAAGCTCACACCAGAACCTATGCCGAGGAGGAACCGTGCACGACAGCACGGGCGCACTCAATTATCCCTGCGTGTAGTAAGGTGGGGATGGGTGGGACACTGAGACGCAGCAACTGTGGCCAGCAAGAAGTGGGCCCCAAAATGGCTGCAGACACGTAAATCCAAGTGGCAAACCTGCAACCAAAAGAACTGGAGAATGGTCGCGGAACACAAGATCACTGCCGACCCTCGGGCCCCCACTACAATGGACAAGGGACAAAAAAGGTACTTTAGATTTTGTTGTGGCATTTTTCAATTTTTGCGGGGGTCCTGGGCATTGTGTAGACCAAAATGTCAGGACACTTCACGCAAGAGATCAATTTGGAGCCGAAATTTGAAGATGCTCTACGCGGGAGCTTAATTTGTTGTCAGGTTATGAGAAAGCTCCAGGCGAGAGCTCAATTTTTGAGCCCAAATTTGAGGACGCTCTATGCAAAAGCTGAATGTAGTGTCAAAATGTAAAAAAGTCCACGCGTGTTAGGATGAGAGGATGGAACTGAAATGAGAACGAATATTTCTTGTTGTACTAGTACGCAAAGTAATCATAACAACAGTGATAAAACAAGACGCATTATTGCCAGTGAGAATAATAATGCTAAGCTGCAAACGGCCAATTATGGTATTGACAGCAGTAATCCGAATAATCCTCCCTTACTCTCCCTGACGGCCAACATGGCCATCACATGATTTCTTGTAAGCATGGATGGCTTAAAAAAGGGGTGTGTGGGGTGGGGCAGCCCACCTTCCCTTGCTGCAAACAAAGGGAGTCATGATGCTTGTAAGCATGGATCGCCCCAAAAAAGCAGGGGGGGTTGCAGCCCCAATATGATGACATGTTTGCTTTGCCGTAAGCATGGATGGCTTTACAAAGCTGGGACGGTAGGGCGGCGTAGGCCCCCATTTGCAAACAAAATCATCCGCACAGCCTTCCCAAACTGCAATCATGGTGGCGACAGGGTTTTTGTACCGCAAGCATGGATGGCTTTAAAAGACCGGGGGGTAGAAGCCAAGAAGCCAGGAAGAAAGCCAAGAAGCCAAGAAGCAGGAGAAGCCAGAAAGCCCAGAAGCCAAGAAGCTAAGAAGCGAGCAAGCCGAAAAGCATAGAAGCCGCAAAGCCGAGAAGCCAAGAAGCCGGAGAAGCCAAGAAGCTGTGCAGACAAGAAGCCTCAAAACAAATGCACAACAAAAAAAACAAAAAATACCTGCAAAAAATACTCTTCCCAAGGGGTAAGTCCATTGACGAGGAAAGAAACCTGATCAAAGCAGGCCTTGGGAGTAGTTGAGGACCTCCAGCTGGGACAGACAGCCATCACTGTCAGCATCGTACTGGTCAAACAGTTCCTGTGCTGAGAGCTCCAAGTGCATCTGCATGGTTATAGCACCTACAGTCAGGAGCTACCCTTCAATGCATTCAGTCATGTTCAGTCCTGCATGCGCGTGGTCCGCGCTACGGCCGCCTCTTTGCGTGCCAATTTCTGCCTGCCTTCCCGCACGACGCTGGCCTAGGGCTCCACGAGACTGGAGATGCGACCACGCTGCAAGAACTGCGCTTCTTTTGTGATCACACCCGAGGGTTTTGTGAATCTTCACCTCCTGTTCATCTGTGTTTGCCTTTTGGAAATGTACATAGATGTCATGCGAAAAAATGCCCTTCCATCACATGAGCCACTTTGCACGACTGGAAAACCATCTGCAATACGCAATAAGCAGAAGTCTTTGTGGAATGTTCTCCGGTGCTTTCAGGCAACTTGTAGTTGTAGCTAGACATCCCATCTTAGAAAGCCCGTCCGGAGAGTACTTACCGCATAGCAAAGTCGGCCCACAGCACTACTTGTAGTTAATGCGCTGCCGACATCTTCGACGCCGTCCATACGCTTCGGATAGGTATGCACCATGCCAGCTGTTCTTGGTCATCCGAGTTCGAGGCAGCATTTGTAGCTGTCATGGTCAAGTCGCCTTGGACAAGACCGGGGCAGAGAATCGTAAGAGCGACTCCAGCACACACATGCTTCTGAGCTCATGGGGACTGAGACCGAGGGCTACTCAGCTTCTTGATTTTTGCGATGACAAGGCGAAGGTCCACCAAAGCGGGGCCCTTTGTGAAGCTCTGGAGCTCCTGGCTGCCACACTCTAACTTCTGCGTGGGCCCATGTCAAAACTTAAAAGGGGCTCTCCTCGTGCTCCTTTGCTTTGTCATCCATGAACGACTGGTACCGGTCGCTCATGCCTTGGGCCTGTGATGTTATGAAGCCTCTCAAACTACATCTTGACTCCACCCTGAAGTGTAGTTGCTCCAGCTCTGCTTTTGAAGGCTGGAGAGAAGGCCTCCAAACCAGCATTTTCCAGCTGGTCGTTCATGTCTTCTCTGTCCTTTTCCTTAGGAGTTTTAGCAGACGGCCGTAGCATGAGCAGCATTCTTGCAGGCCTTCTGCAGCCCAACATTCTCGCGAATGAGATCGGCTGTGGCCTGGCATTGCAGCGGCCCTTGTTCCTCACTTCCCTGGTTCCGCTCATGATCCATGTGCCCATCTTGGCCTTGATGTGCTCTTCACCACTCCTGCAAGGCAGTTAGAACCTTGTTTCAGCTTATCTTACTAAGCGTTTCGAGGCCGGTGTCTTGCATGGCGATTTTTGGTCCTGACCATGGATTTTAGCTCGGCCATCACCGCTCGTCTTTGTTGCGCCTCTGCGATGGCCTGGAGACACAGAATGATCCCACGCCGCAGCAGCTTAAGGCACTTCCCCACCTTGTCCATGTCCTTTTTGAGAACCTCCTGCTGCAGCGCTTCAGTCTTTGACAGGTCCCTCGCCGCCACGGACTCCAAGGTCTGGCCAACAGCAAGACAAGGGTCTTGTTGCCAACTTCTGTTGCTAAGAACTCGTGAGATTCCAGCCTTCAGAAGTCCGTCAATTGAGTCGAACCTCGGCGCTTACACTGGATGTGAATTCAGGATAATTTTGTTGGTTGATGCCTACCTTGGTCGGAAGCCGATGGATGGAAAATGACGGAAAGCACACAAATCCCTTGCTGTCGAGCATCTGTCCGTTCTGAAGGTTGCTAATGGCGCTGCGGACAGCGGCCGTAGCTCGTTCCTTATTTGCATGCAAGCTGACTACCGGAGGCTTGTCCTCATAGGCCATTGCGGCCAGGACGAAACAAGAAGACGGCCAAAGAGATGCGCAGCCCAAAACACAGCTCTGGCTTTCTGGATGACAACACAGATCTGCCAAGGCTCAGTTTCAGCTTTTCGATGAAGCTCTTCGTTCCGAAGCCGGTTTTCATCTTCAAAGCGTCTGCGAGCCTACGGCCAACCAGGCGAGCGAGAGCGACTGAAATGTGTTTTCGTGGAACTGGCTTCCAAGGCAATTGAGGTAAAGCCGACTTGTAGTACTTCAGGGAATCTAAAAGAAGGAGCAGGGGACTGTCCAAGCCGTGGTACCTTGTCACGCTCGTCCGCAAGTCGATCATGCTCTGACATCGGGCCGTGCCTCAATTGATAAGATAAGCCGCCTACAGGCTGCTGCCAATCCAACTTGTGCCACTGTCTGCTCTTCGCCAGGGAGCATGTAGGGCGTCCCACTAACCTTGACAGGCGCATCAGCGTCACAAGACGCTCACTCACTTGTTCTAGGAGTTCCTCGCAAGTACTGACTGGCACAAAGGCGCTGCAAGTCATTTTCAGGCCCTGTTGGTTGAGCACGTGCTGCAGACATCTCAGATATTGACCGGCCCTCCAGGTGCTCCTGGAGGCGGAGGAGGTGGTGGCGCCTGGTAGCCTCAGAAGCTGACTCCGCTTGTCACAAGCTACCACCCACTTGGATGAAAACTAACTTCTGAAATGTGAAATGAAGGGTGCCTGCTGGCACCTGCTCGCCCATGCTAGCACCATACGGCCTCGCACCATCTCCCAGAACTCATTCGCATTCAGTTGTCGTATGCTTACGTGACTGCGTCCATGTATGAGACTGCGAAGAAACGTGTTGGCCTGCCATAGGGATCCGTGTATCCATAGGAGCCACCATATCCAGGGTACTGGCCTGTGAAAAGGCCGAAGCATGCAAAAGAACATCTTGCTCACGGGCACTTCAGGGCCTGCTGCGTACTGCGCGTAGCCAGCCATGCCCAGCTGCCCTGAAGTGCCCATGGCAGCCGTCGGCATTGCACCCTGCACTGCGCCAAGTCACGGAGAGGGGACTGCATCGTGGCAGCCAGCAGATTTGGGGTTCTGCACAGTATCTTAGTGGCAAGCATTGTTGATTGTTGCTTCCGCGCCCAAAAATCACATTACTGCAGGTTCCATGCGTTGATGTAGCTTCACCGAGAGGACTTTGACTCGAATCAGGGGCCAGGAAGTGTCAAAGTGAGAGTCCATGTCTCGTACGATACTAAATCAGCGTTTGTTCCATTTGCCGCCTGTGTTGGGTGTGAGGTTGACATGCCGAACCTATTCAATCAAATCGTGTTAGAGGCAAGCTGATCAATGCTGCCTTCGGTGAGACGGTGATTGTTGCTCTGCCAAGGCTCGGTTAGACACATTTAGGCGACGTGAAGTACAGCAATTTCTTAACAAATGCACTTGAATTGGTTGAGATACATGTGTGTACGAATGAGCAGTGTCAACAGCGTGGCTATGAGGATGTGAACTAGTCGTCTGCATGTTCGTTGTTTGCCAAGTCGTTCGGTGCTGCACTGCGACTAAGAAGGGATGGGATGCGTGCCAAGTTCTGTACGCCGCCGGTCAAAAATGACGAAGTCCCTGAAACCTTTAGTGACCTTGACCTGCCCGATGGGTCAGAGAATCAGGCCTTCACCTACAGAGTGGGGTACTCATTGCAAGAGTTTGCTAGAAACTCCTGCACGCGCATGCCGGCAATTACTGGGTTCGGCTTATTCTTGCAAAAGCCTTTATATGGTACAAGTGAGGTTGTTCAAGGTTTAGACTTCAGACTGGCTACGTTTGCCAGCTGCTCTGGGCTTACATACTGTAGCTGCCTACGTCCGGAGCTTGAAAGATGCCAGAGGCAATATGCAACTGGGCTTGCCAGGTACTGAAGGTAGCTCAGCACCTGAATTCCGAACCATGCACTTCCAGCTTTCCGTCCCCTCTGGCCGTCACAGCCATGTCTTTATTCAAAGTTGCAGAGATGAAAGCTGGAAACGGGCATCCCGCCAACCCTACCATGTAGCACAACTAGCTGTGGTCCCCTTCAACTGCCGCAGATGGGCCAGGCAAGCAAGCTCCGCAGACAATGGACATTCGGTTAACACCTAAGTGACAACATGTGAACAGCACACAATTGCCTGCCCACGCCCATCTTGCTAAAGAGACACTAAAGCAACTTGTCCGATGCTTTTCGGAAGAGACTTGTCCACACCTTCTGAAGATGCGGAAGACCTGTTCTGAATCCTGTGCATTTGCTGGCAGGCTTTCTGCACCTGAATCTTGAATTTTCACACCTTTCTCTGTTCCTGATGCCTTGGCATCCTTGTAGCACCTTCGATCACAGGTCCTAAACAGTGCTTGAAGCCTTGCTGCTTGGAGAGGTAGGTTGCTAACGCAGCTGTGTCCAGACCCTGGAGTTTGATTGGAATCCTTGCCAAAGGGCTGCGCACTTGTGGTCGAGCATTGCGAATGCGCAGACCGGAGAGTGACATGTGAGGAAAAGCGCCTCTTTTCGCTGCTGATGTAAGGACCCAAGGCCGAACCGATTGGAACCCAACCTTGGGGGCATACTGAAACTTGGCATACCCCAAGTCCATATCTGAGATTAGGATGCTGAGGTACCTAGGGGGCTGTAGGCTCTGGGTGTGTGGTGTCGCTGGAAGACATTTCTGCAAAGTGGTTGGGGATGAGAGACATGTCAGCTTCGAGTGTCCGTTCCGCTGCACCTGTGCTTCTGAGCTGCCCTGACAGCTGCTGTGCTGATGTTTTTTGAATTCTGCAATGCTGTGCAGAAGTTGATATGGATGTGTGGACGGCTTGTGGAACTGAAAACAGAAACAGTTTTGAAACATTCTAAAATCTTCAGTGACAGGATGTTTTTGGCGGAGGTAGTGTGCTTAACAATCAACTCCTCCTTCCTAGGCGCTCTCAACCACACACTGCTGTAGCATCACTGCACTAGACTCCAAGAGATACGTGCTTGTGGCTGTAGCATGACATGGCAAGCTGACCGACAAACCTGCATCATCGCCCAGGGCATCATGGCGTTCCTTGGCAGCGGGCATTTTACACGCAAGTTGTGCAAAAGATGAGTTTTAATTCAGTCGGAGGGAGCATGACACAAGTGCGGGACAGGCTGAAGCCAAGGATCATGAATTGCTGCTGTTGCTGCTGTTGCTGCTGCTCATCAGCCTCGCTGCCTCGGCCGGCGACGATGTGAATCAAGCTGCTGCAAGGTACCAAATGCCCAATTGCTGCCGAGGTGCTTGAGGAATAGTACGAGTAGGAGCTGTCATCAGAGCTGTCGGAGTCAGAACCCTGCTTGTCTTTTTTCGCCTGCAATAAAATTTGGTCAAAAGCTTCGCGGAATATTCCTGAATATTCGCTTCGCTTTTTGCAACGTTGTCCTTGGCTGGCTTCTTTTTTGTGTCTGCCTTTGCTACGGCATCCTGCGGTGACACGACAAGAAAGGCAGCCCAGTCGGCATCACCGGCATGATGTGTCCTTCTTCTTGTTTTTTGTCTTTGCTTTCCCTCCATCCTCCCCTGCAGCTCCTCCAAATCAGTTCTATCATGCAGCGTGTTGCAGCAGGAACTCGCGGCTGGCAGCAGAACCTCCTTTGTCCGCCTTATCCTGCTTCACCTTCTTCGTCTTTTCTGCCTCACTTGCTCTGAGCACAAATTTGCACTGAACACTGCAGAGGGGGCTGAGGACCTGGAAATTCTGAAGATGCTCTTCCACTGATGTCTCTAGTGGACACATAACATACGGCCTTTTCTGCCTTGCCGGCTTTGTTGGCTGCCTGCAAAGTGGAAGGCGGGTGCTGGATTTGATCTACCCTATACAAGGACAAGAGCTTGATGACTGCACAGCATTTCTTCTGCGTGCCTTTTCTGCCTTTTCTACTTTGGCTTTTTCTGCCTACTCAAGCATGCCATCACGGGAAACTGGCACGACACGACGATGACATGGGAAGAATCAATCTTACGACAGGGGGCCTGCAACCCAAATGCAGAAATACAACGCAATGACAATGTGTACCGCTGGAAGCATCGGGTTAGTTCCAGGCAAAAAGTGTTGATCAACTCATGTCCTCAGAAAGCTGTGTAAGCATTACGATTCGGAAAGATGGGCCCGACTGTTTTCAAGTAATCTCGGGAAACAATACTGCGCCCGGGCGCCTGGGGTCTCAACAAGTCTTAAACCATGGATGCCGCGAACCTGCCTTCTCGCCGTCTGCCTTCTCGGCTTTACCTGCTTTGCCCTTGGCAGCCTTCTCCGGCTTTTCGGGTTTCTCCGCCTTCTCTGGCGTTTCAGCCTTATCTGTTTTTGCTGCTTTATCGGCCTTGGGACAGCGGCGGGATGCTTGCCAGGTACTCCGATCACCGTATCGCAGCAATTCTTGCATGCAAACTTGCACGGCCTTAACCTTCTTCACCTTCTTGCCCTCCGTCTTCTTTCCTCGTTATCCAGAGACTGACTGAATGTTCCACGGGCGCAACAGACTGCAACCAGATTTCCTGCCGCTTCATCCTTCCTTGGCCGGCAAGGTTGCTACTTGATGCTTCGAACCAATGCGTTCCCACTTCAAACTTAGCAATCTCTGACTTGCAGCCGAGGTGCTTCTTTGCGTCAGACGCTGAGGAGGCTTCGCGTTGTCGTTTCCGACGTTGCCTGCACGCTGCAGAAAGGCACTTCAGCGAAGCATTCCTGGCATGCTCAGAGGTGACTGGGAAGTCTGCGGTCTGGCTCGGCTTCGCGATCTCCGACTCTGCCTGCCAAGAGATGTCCAAGTTCCGAGCCACTCTCCGGATGCTATTTCGCGGATGCAGACTGCTTTTCTGCCACAGAGGACACTATGAGTGCCTCCGAGCCGATGATCCCGCACGACGACGGTTGCGATGCCGGCTGCCAGACCGCCCACGGCGTGGCATGGCCAAGCACGGGACTCAAATGCTACCTCTGGCTATGCTTCTACTCGCAGCCGGTACTGTTTGCAGAATACTGGACTTGCTGGGATGTCATCGCAAATGCTCCGCGCGCAGATGTTAACAACTGTGCATTGAATCGCAACTGACCGAAGAACATTTTAGATGGCAAGCTATCGTCTGTCCATCCACTTTGCCTGCAGGGAATGAAGAGTGTCCGGGAATTATTTTCTCTCTTTCAGTTACTGAGAGCCTGCAGTGCTGGCAGTCCTGGGGCGTTAGCAAAACTTTACCCTGTAGCGATCCCTCTGAACAAATGTGGTGGCTGGAGTTTCCGCAAGAGTCCGAGTCAGATTCCCAGCCTGGAGACCTTTCTCGGAGGCATGCAGAGGCTCAGGTCTGGAGAGAGGAAATCCGGAAGTAACACAGGCACTGCCGTACACTCCGCGCAGTGCAGGCGCATCCAGCATGTTTGCTGGACAGGTCCTACACTGAAAAGTGAGTGCCCTTTGAGAGAGATCACGGCCGCCACAACGTTGATCTGAATTCAGAGAATGCAAGGTACCAAAGGCCCTCATAATGCAGTTGCCAGTCCCAGCTCGGTCTAAAGCTTGCGGTATTTCTCGATTGCCTTCTTCACGTTCTCTTGCTTCTCAGCCGCAACCATACACATGCACTTCTCAACTGTGCCAACCGGTCCACCGCAGCACATGAAGAAGGGCCTCACACAGCCAGGAGCTTCTCCGGCAACTTCATCTTCGATTTTCAACTTGGCTTGCTCCTTCAGTTGCGCTTGAGCTGCTTCCATGACTCCGCGAGGCTTTGCCTCTCGCGTTCAGCGCGGCTGTCGCGTTTTTTGCAAGCTTGGCCTGGAATCCGAGACGGCTCACCGGTGACCAAGGCTGTGTCTGAATTCAAGCCAAACACTAGACAGTATGACCATACTCTGCAAGGCCTCATGCAAAACATTTTTTTGACTGGCTCATCTTTTCGCGACTTTGTCAGCCTTTGCCCCTCACTGGCGGTCACCAGCGAAGAATCGCACCCTGTAGACGAAGAACACCAAAACCTGTTCAACTGAGATGCTGTCGCTCATACTCAACTCGTGCATGCTCGCATTATCTACCTGCAAATTGCTGCCAGCAGCATCAGATTCTGGCGTGGCTACTGACACTGATCATTGCCTGCAAGCCTGACACTGTGGCATCAATTGGCTTCCAGAACTTGCCCTTTAAAAACCGGAAGACTCGCCGCATTTCTGTACGCACTACCTAGCAGAGAAACCCGAGCTAGCTCGCCTGTAGCAGCACTGGAGAGACGATGAGCGTGAGCTGGAGCCATCGTCTTGGCAAATGGTCATTCACAGCTTACAACATTAGACATCAGAAGCGGAGAAGGTAACCATAAAAGCAACAAGCAGAAGAAGGGCAAGAGTGATGAACGAAAGATTCATATGCACATATGGTAGGATTTTGATTTATGGTCCCCAAAATTGAACACCAAATACGATACATTCACCAGCCAATCTTCGTGCGGATTCCTATATACACTTACCAAAGACATTGACGAAAGACCGTGCTTCACTAACATGCCTTTGCAGCTATTCAAGGGCCGGTGCCTCGGTTTGAGATGGGCGCCGGGCACTTTTACAGAGATCTCCATTAACAAGTTTGCCCGCAAGAAGTACAGGGAGAGCGCCAGTCCTACGAAGACAAACTGAGCTTCGAACATTCTGTGAAGAAGTCACCCGAGGCAGACGCATGAAAAAGGAAGTTCGCATTCAAGTTGCAGGGGTCCTCCGAGCACGAAGACCCACCGCAAGAAGGACACCGGAATGATACACAGAATAGACCTTGGTCATTTACAGGTGTCACTGCGACGCATTACATGGAGGCAAGATGAGGCAAGTGTACACTGGAGCTTCACGGCCCTCTTATAGCAATGGATGCCAAAGAACACTCGCAGACTCTGGGGCCTGGACACTGGAATGGAGGGGGCCAAACCATACCTGAGCCATGACGTTAAACCTTTGAATGTTTTTGCTCTCGTTTGTGTTGCTATCGCTGCCGAATGTCGCGATTTCAGACGCGCACTAGGATGGACGCCAGTGGAAAAGTGAAATCACTATACGGGTTTACTGACGCGAGCTATTGCGGCTAGATTTTGGGCTGCTAAACCTCGTTTGACAGATTGCCCTGCAGCAGTGCGCAGGACTGTATTCTAAACAGTGAGCAGGACTGTATTCTAAACTTGGCAGCACTAACTACGCTAGAACAAAGCTTATAAAAGTGAATTGGCGGGGAAATGGGGCTGGGAATAAAACTGACGCCACGTCGTCGCCGATCTATCACAAAAGTACTGCAAATTTCCATTGCCCACTTGCACGGGCTCTTAATGGCTATGAACCATCGCGATCGCATCTTTCAAGTCAGGCAGCAAACTACGGAATGCAGCTCTGCAAGGCCCGGCCGCTATGGCAAACTGAATTGAAATGAGCGGTCGCAAAAACTATCACCAAGAGAATGCTCATGTTGTACTGTAGCGAGCCATAGTGCACACCACAAATGCTGACGACGCGGTTACAATGGATTCCCATTAGGAGGGTATTGGCCGCTGCTCACCTGCGCTCGTGAGAGAATGACTGGTCGAAACATTGTGGCTGTGACTCAACAGAGGGCTAGACCCAGCCAGCCCACCGCCCTTTAGAAGCAAGCTGAACGCTGTTTCCCTGGATCTTGGCGAAGCTGCTGGTCACATCTTCTCCACAGAATAATGAAATCCCCCGGCAAAGCACTTCCACTGAGCACATCGGGCTTTCCCACATATGCCGATCAACTATTTTCAGGCCAGCAAGATGCCAGCCTAGGGCAGGGTCGGAGACAATTAGTCATTGCAGCAGGCGCCTTGCGCCAAATGGCCACCACACAACAAATTGCAGCTACGGTGCCCACACACACAGATGATCTTCTTGAAGTCAATATTCGCGACCTGCAAGGCCGAAGAGTCAACGGGCCATGTGCAACGCCTTGAAGCCCAATTGCAATTCAAGTCTGGCTCGTGTAGGAGCAAGCGCTGAAGTCTCCCAAGAGGCCTAAAAATCCCATACGAAGCCGTTGTATGCTAGACTGAGAAGCACAGCTGAAAGACCTCCTCATCAGTGAAAACAACAGACCTGATGCCACGAGAGTGAAGGAAAAACGGGGACTCCTGTCGACGAAGCTAGGCAGCCGACAGTCGCGCTAAAAGCGGCACGCCAATGAGGCCCCTTGAGAGGCAGCTGATTAGGAGCATCATTGCAAAGATTGGCGCTGTGTAGCTTCGAATGAGTCCCATGCCCATAAATTATGGTCGCTGCCAAAGGCACTAAGCTGTAGTCTGCCTTGCAGCACGTGCAGCAAGGCGGGCACGCCAGATCAAAGAGGCCTGATCATGCCTTGAAGAGGCTGGGGTGTTCAGACTCCACCAACCTGCAGACAGAAGGCCACCACATCCTCATGTATCTCATCCGAAGTTCCTCATGTATCTCATCCGAAGTAAAGAATCCACCTGGCAAAGTTGCCAGTGGCAGCCAGGAAAAGCACGGCAGTAGTTGCAATCCAGAAAGGTCCTGAGCAAGGCAACTCTCATAACCTCCTCCCATCTCTGCAGTTCTAAGAAGCCACACCATAGAAGTCAGGACGAGCTCGCAGCTCCTTACCGCACGACATCGTTGAAAGGAGCAGTATCCGCCATGGATTCTCCGCTCTTTTCAACATGAATTTGCAGCCCTCTGGGCTGTCCTCCGCGGTCAACCTATCCGGGCTCGGGTATGGCCTGCAAACAGGAGTCGTTGCGGCAATGCCAAGAATCTGACATGCACCATGGGCAAACAAGCGGAGGGCACAAGAGGAGCTTCAGCCGACGCACCACATCATCTGTACTGACCTCAGCAAACGTTTGTGTCCAGTTGACGTGGAGAACCAAGCCGTGATGGGAGACGCCGGGTTAGTCCGGGGATGTTCTGATCACAGGCCAACCGGGCTTCCTGCGTCGAAGAGGCTCTGGGCAAGAGCTAGCATCCAGGCTGAGAAGCCTGCGATGCCACCTCTTGTCAGATCTTGTCAGGCTGCACGTGTAGTGTTGTCTTCAAAGGAAAAACTCTGAAGCCTGACATGACCAACATTAAACCATGTCAAGCCATGCCTTGTTGTTCAGCAGGTGCGGCACCGGCTGCCGCTGCTGCAGCACCTGCAGATGGAAGCAAGAGGCGGCCCAAGAAACTGCGGCATTAGTCTGTGAGCGTTTTGCCTGCTGCAAAGCCTGCAGCATAGCCGCCGAGCCCTCCATCACCTGGACGGCTTCGTTGAAGCGAGAGCCCCACCGTACACCAAACTTCCGACGATCCAAAGGGCACGAGACCGATTCATTTGCATAAGTGTACCTAGGCGAGTGACTGGGGTCAGCAAAGTCTCTGCCCGAAAAGTGCTGCTGTGGCCGACATTCGTTGCCAAAAGCTCATGGGATGGGCAACTGAGCTGTACATAAAGCACGCCGCTATTGCGACAATGTGTCTGCAGCTGAAAACTCTTTCAGATGTACACTGGACATGTGGCTTTGTCAAGACAGCGTGACTCCCTTTTGGGAAAAACGCTCTTGCTTCAGAGCAAGCTGCAAAAAGCAGCAAACGTGGCATTCGACAGCAACCTCTCACAGCACAGTGCACGACCTCAGCTGGAACTGTCAGGATGGCATGATCGGCTCACTTGCCAATGCAGAAAGGAATGTTGGCTACACTGGCTGTGGGAAATCGCCAACTTTCCCTACGTACCGGCGGGCGCTATATGAAGTCACTTTGCCACAATCTGATTGGTCCAGTTAAGCAAGAGATCAACATTTTGCTGCCAGCCCTGCGTGCGGAACTGCTACAATACAATCGCAAGCACAAAGAGAAAATGAGGACCACTCAAGCCAAGCAGCGGCGGACAACATGGCGGGACCACGCAGTCTGCTGCACGATCTGGATCTACCTGCGCAATGCTCCCGAGAAGCTTGCGCATCTTTCTTCCTCGGCTGACGGAATAGCTTTGGAACACTTCGCAGCAAGCTGCGACAAGAACAGAACTGATCTTCAAGACCTTACCAAGCCAAGCCACCCTTGGCTCGTCTAAGAACCAGCTCCTGCATGTCAGAAAAACTGTAGCAGGAAGCTGCTGCTGCACAAAGAACAGCTGGTCAACACCCAAGGTTGATTCACAAAAGCAGAGTAGAAGATCATGCTTTACACCTGCTTCTACTGTATTCTACGTGCCCCGTCTTTGCGTCCTGGTTGGTTTCGAGCCGCCAGCCGCCCTGATCAGTCAATGTACGTTTACAGTCTACAGGAGCGGGATGCTGGTCGTGACGTGGCTGCTCACCAGAAAGATTGACACTGACAGAGTCAGAGATGCCCTTCCAAAGAAAAGTCAGCCTTCTGGACCAGAAGTATGGCGCAGTCCTGATGATACTTGATAACCATCTTTTGAATGAAAGAGCTTGAGTGGTATTCAGCTCCGTCTCCTCATGGCCATACTGGACAGCCCAGCGAAGAGCAGTCTCGTTGGAGAGTTCCTGTCCCAGAGAAAGCCATGACATCAATTTTGGCGTCGGGAGGAGTGAGCGAGGCCTGGTCTACAGGACCACCAGCATCCAGGAGGACCTTCAGAATATCAGCATATGCAGGCTGCAGGGTGCTGGAATCTCTTGCCTTCAGCAGGTCCGGATCTCCCCATGAGGCTGCTCCTACCACAGCCTGCAACCCGGAAAAAAAATGGAAACAAATGATGGCCATCTTGAAGCTTTGCTTTGGAGTCAGGTCAGTCGCCTGCAAGGTAATAGAGGGATCAGCACCATGCCGGAGCAGCATCTTGATGGCATCCTCGTTTCCAGACCTTCTGCTGCTGCGCGGACTCTGGTGAATTTGGTCACCATCGCTCTTGAACATCAGAATGTGTTTGTGGCTAAGACTGCAGCCAAGCGCAAGCATCAAGGGCATAGTAACCATCCTTTCGACGAAGGGACAAAGAACCCGTAGACCAGTCATAGAAAGTTGCGTGGGACGGAGCGAGGAAATCCAGCATGGCATGCAGTCCTGCGGTCTCGGTGTATTAAAATCGACTCCCTCCTGCAACTTGTTCAGGTTGGTGCAACAGTGGCTTGTATGCGCCTGCGTGAAAGCTCTCCGGGTGCTTACATGATAATGTCCTCCCCCAGCTTCTCTAGCATTTTGACATCGTTGTTGCAGGCAGCAGCATGCACCTTCCATTCAAAGCTTCAAGCCTATGCTGCTGTGACATGAGCCCCTGCCTGCAGTGCCGGTTCCAAGTCGGCATACTGATCCTGAATGCAGCGCTAAGAGCAGAACATATGAAATTCAAACTCTGCCACAGGGCGAAGAAGAAAGTGAAAGTCCTGGCCCTTCTTGGCCTCCTCACCCTAGCAGTTTCCAGCAGGCGTTTCAAAGCTGCATGATTGGCCGGTCACAGTGCGCCTTCAGTTTCCTGGTGAGGAAGCGAAACATGGCGGAGCCGGCAATACGTTTTGAAGCTTGATCTTACGAGAGGATGCTTGCAAGCTTCATGCTGGATCTTTGCTCCTGTGGATCCTTCTTGCGCACTTACATAGACCTAGACCATGTTGATGGAAAATCAGCTTGCGAGCCCCCTTAAGCTTCTCGAGTTTCGAAGCTTGAACACAAACTTGGCAAGCGAAGCAGTGGCGTCACGATTTGCCGAGCTCGCAAGTACATGCCATGTGATGGATGTGACAGCCTGCCGATGGCTGTTGAGTTGTGTTGGAGCTTTGGCTTGAACCTGGGAGTTCAGTCTGCAACAACACAATCCCCTGTAGCTTTCTGAACGAAACAGATCCAAGAAAATAATGGCAAGAACAGGTACACAGCCGAAAAATGTCGGCTTGCTTTGAACCAAGCCCGTTTAAAAAGCATCAGCGAGGACTTGATGAACCTTCACAATTCACAACGTTGCGACTTGCAACTTAGCTGCCGATGAGTCCAGTGGGTTCCGTCAAAGACACCAGCTCGCTGGTTTGTCCACCACCCTGCAAAGCTCTGCCAGGACTAGCAACAAAGGCATACCCTGCAGGTACAGCTCCCCGCCAAGAAAATGTCATCCAGCTCCTGTCGGACAATTACAACTTCGGTTTCCACTCGCTCCGATGCGTGCGACCATACGATTGCTGTGTCGCATGGCGGTGAGGCAGACAGCAAACATGCTGAGCGGCTAAGCGTTCATCTTCCGAGTCAACATGTTACTTTGCTTGACAGCCTGGTGTGCAGTCGAAGCAGCGTTGGCTTGTGGGCGCACCTGCTGCTTGTTACCAGTGCTCAACAACCCCAAAATGCTTGACGATCTCTGGTCTTTGGCAACTGCAACTAGTGTGAACTTCACAACAGCTCCAACGTTTAGAATGCGCGACTGCAATTCTGTATGAGCAGCAGACGGATGTTCATGTTTCGGCAAGGACCGCTGTTTCCTTATTCCGGCCCCTGATCTCGCTTACTTAAAAAACACTCATAAACGCCATCCTCTTTTTTCTGACTTTAGGGGAATCTCGCTTAAATCTTAGGACCCAGGAGTTCAAGTAATATATCACTCAATGAAATACTCCCAATGATAAAACACCGACGTCCGTAGCCTTGGTTCTCTTCTGTTCTCTTGAAGGACTTTAGGTCATCGCTCATATACAACAGGCGCAACAAATCCCAACACGCCACCACCTTCAAGTCCCGCACCTCCAGTTCTGACGCCGTGGGCTTGTACTGAAACACCTCACGATAGGAACTTGCGCGGGCTGTGAACTTCAGAGACATCTGTGGATGCATCACAGGAGCTGGATTGTGCGAAGGAGAAGCAACAGCGGCGGCAGCAGGAGCAGCGGCAAGTGGCACGTGTTCCATGCACGAGTGCGCAAAATCAATGAGTAGGCATGTTTCTGACTCACCTGTGCAAGCTTACGGTATGTCCGGATGATATGTCTGCTGCTCCCTGACATGCGGGCAACAACCTGACCGCGCGGATCTCTGAAGGACCAGACGTCCGAGGCGCCAGATGCCTGTGAAGACTTGTAGGCACATGTTTTTTCCTTTCCACAGCCTCTACTTGCAAACGAGGGCCACCTGAAACATACAACCCCCGCCAGCACCAGAAACAAGTAGCAGGGGGCTACATGTCAAAGCCTCTTCCCAGTTGGGTCGCTCCCACTGGGTCTTGTTCATCACAGCCTTCGCATGGCTAAGTGGCAACAGAGCTTCTACAGTCATCCTCAGTGCCGCGCGTTGTGAAAATACTCCTTGCCATCATCTGTAGTGTACCTATGCAGAAATCGCGAAACAGACTAAGGAAACACACGTGAAGAGAAAACACCACTGCAGCCACTGCAAGCTGTCGCTGGCCTTTGCCAGTTGGGCGGCAATCCCATTGACATGGTGTGCAGACCAAACTTGTTGCTTCTGGCATGATCCAGTCATTGGCTTTATAATCCTCAGCCAAGATTAGGGGGTCTTTGCTCTACTTCGGCATGCTCTGCACACTTTCAACAGTGCAGCTCGCTAGTCAGCTCTGCTGCGGCAGGTTCCCAGATGTTCCCAGCGCAATATGCGCAATCCAAGACAACGGGAAGGAGGCTCAGCAAGATGTTGAAAGCCAGAGGTTCTGGTCGAGAAATTTTGTTGCTCGCATGTGAGGAGGCATGCATTTAGGCAGCCAGCGCGACATCGAGATGGGACTTGTCGACCTGGAGCTTGTGGACCCTTCCTTGCTGCTTATTGACAAGCTTATGAGATGATGCAGCCGAAGCTTCAGGGCGCGCCCCAAAGCGTGCAGACATGACCTTGCCGAGAGGTGGCTCTAGTCAAAAGCATTATCTCCTGCCCTAATGTACATGGTCTGGGCAGCGCTGTGAAACAGCTCGCTGGTGAGACAGCTTATCACCCACGTCCAATTGAGAGCGAGGTTTCATTCTACAACCCAGCCGTCACAGAGCAGGAACTGTGCAGGATCATTGTGGAGGCAGATGGGGGCACAAGGCTTGGTTTGGCCTGACTTTTGGTTCCAATCTCTGTGAAGGAAGTCAATATGGATTCATCTCAACAACTATGGCAACAGCCCTTGGCCACGACGCGCACACTGATGACTGCTTCTTGTCACGCTCTTTGCTGCAGCTTGCTCTAGTGCTCCAATTACAGGGCGTGTTTCAAGGCAAGCGCTGCATGACACTGCGACAATGACACCTTTAGCGCCACTGGAAAAAAACGGATGGGCTCTCAGATCCTGGCTACAGCCACCTACCAATCAGTCCGAGTCCTGTGCTCATGACTCTCAGTCATTTGGCGAGCAGCTTAATTCCACCTGGAACTTTGTAGATTACGATGGCATCGCCAGGGTCGTGGAACCAGGCAGAGCCATTAGAGGCAAATAAAAACCTTCAGGTAGTCAAGAAACTGAAGAACCGTATTTTTTGTCTGCAAGAGTGAGCAAGGCTCTTGCTCCTGCTTCATCCGGCGACAAGGCGAGTTGGAGGGCAACGTAGCGCACGAGATGCTTCAGGTGCTTGAAAGCATAAGCGAGACATTTGCATGCGATGACAGCTTCCACGTCGCAAGAATACAACTGCTTATGAAAACAAGCTTCTGTGCAAGAACATGAAAAACTACATCAGCAACAGATTAACGACAGGCATCGATGTCATCGCGGCTGTCTCAATCTGTAAGTCAATATGAGTAAAGGGCCAGGATGGGCCAAAAACAATGTCCAGGACAGATTCAAGCCCTTGCAGAACTGCCTGCTTCAGTTGGTGTTGACCCAGTTGATGAACCTTCAGTCAGTCAGGAAGTCAGTCAGGAGCGGAAGACTGGATACACCGAGATGAGCTGGGGTGCACACTTGCCATCTTTCCAATAGCTCTTTCGACCTGTCCCCTGGTCAGGGCTTCAATGGCATGTCCTTTATGAAGTGGGTTCGAGGCACACTGAATGAGTCAAGTCGGGATGTAGCCTTGGACGTGGTGACCACGCCCATGCCGTGCTGCTTGCCATTGATCTTGGTGGAACAAACTGTTCACACAAGCTAAGGTCAAAGGAAATCCTCCCGCAAAAAAGGTTCACTGACATGCTAAAAATCATAGCTTGAAAACATGAAACCCAAGTCACTTGTGTCTCGAATCAGGCACGGTGTGGGCACTAGGTCATCGGGCTGTACAGATGCGCTGCTTTCTGAGGTGCTAGCCCACTGGCCCTCGTAGGTGCGACCATCCTTTTAAGTTCAGCACGTGAGGACAGCGAGGACTTGGCGCATTGAGCTCTGAGATTCTGGCAGGCCAGGTCAAGGTGCCCTCACCCTCCTGCAGGGAGCAGGCCAGGGGCAACTAGCAGGGGAAGATTTGCACCGACCCTCAACTCTGTCTGACACACAGCCATACACACACCAGGCTCGCGTCCTTTTTGCCGTGGCTGAAATCGCCCTGTCGTGCGTAAGTGGAAGTTTAATGGTATTCCTGGCTGCTGTTTTGGCCTCAAAGATGCGACCATCTGGCCACCGCATTGTGCCGGCTCCATGCCTGCAGCTTGGCTCTTGGAGTCTGAACAGCCTACAATCCATGCAAAAGGGAATATACCCCCTGTGTTGTCAGGAGCAAGCGCACCGCTGGTTTCGTCAGTGTATTTTCTCGCCATGGAACAACCACTGCTTCTAGCCATCTCTCATACCTCTCAGCTGTCCAACGTAAGGTGCCGACATTTGGTTTTCTACCCAGTCGCCATTGTACTGGCGACCATCTGCCCAAACATAGCGGCCTGCCGGACGCAGTTGAACTTTGCATGATGATGCTTCCACGCTCAGCGCATCTTCTCTTCAGATGCATTTGCATTCTGAGATGGCAAGCACGCCCTGGCCTTCGCCGTGCATGTCGTTATTCAGGAAGCTCCCCTGCCACAACATACAGCATCTGCAGAATAGGTCAGAAGCAATGCAGTGACATTGCTCTGTCAGCTCTGAGGGAGTCTCGCGCCTCGTACATGCAGCCTTCCCCCCACATGAACTTGCCATGACCATGCTTCCTGGCGAAGGAAGATTCCAGAGCACATCTGGCTTCAATCCCTGAAGCGGTCCTGCCATCTTTGAAGGAGCCGGTGAACACAGAGCCGTCACCCCATCTTTCAATCCCTTGGCCATCCTGTCCAAGACGAGCCATGTAAGATTGTCCATGCAACATGGCCGTCGTGTTTTGCGCAATCTGGCACCCACCAGGGTTCGGAGGGACCACTGCAGGGTTGTGTTTGCACGGGATGCTGGTGTGCCGGTCGATGTCGCTCTTTGGATGATCGCAGGCGAAAGACTGCAAAGGGGCTACAAGCGCATGACTGAACACGCCTGCAGGTCGTTCAACCAGTCGCCTTCGTATGTGGAGGCCTTCGCGGTTGCAAGCTTCTCTAGGAGTAACTGTAGTCACAATACTATAAGTGACGGCCGCACTAGCCGTGACTATCGCAGTAGCAATGACAGCCTAAATAACAATGGTAGCAAGAATACTAGAGACGCAGTGACAGTAATGGCTCTTCTTGCAGCAGTACGTACTCGTGATAAAGAGCAGTGATGGCACTGTTTGTACAGCGCTGGCAGCGTCGCTAACAGTCATAGTAGCCGCAAGAGCAATGATAACAAGAATGAGTACCAGCAACTAGTAAAAGGATTACGAATCATAATAGTATTAATGATTCAGTGACGATGGCACTAAAAATCATGATCGTAAAGTTCTGCAAGTCGCCATCACAATATCAGCAGCACTAGTAGTAGGACCATGGTCCGCGTCCGGCCGTGGTATAAGCCCTATATTTTGTGTGTTTCACTCTCTAGTCTTGAAACCTGCATTTCGATGCAAACACGTGCATCGGCCTAGCGCGGTCAAAAACGCTCGTTTTCAAAAAGTGTTGAATTTTGGTGTCCGATTTTTTGACGTCCATGCGCGCGAAATAACAGTTCCGGCAACTATTCCTTTGTTTTTGCGTTTCTCTCATTTTGCATTTCTCGTCGCTTGCGTTTTTGCATCGTAAAATGCTCAAAACCTCAGTATTGGTGCGTTCGACCTTTTTTCACTGCTTATCCGTTCGGTCTTGCGTGTGAGGAAGTGCCAAACGTTTCGTCTTTGCGACGCGCTTCTTTAGCTATTTTTTTCGCTGCGTGCTTCTTCGTTGGGTGTGCTGCTCAAAGCCCCAGTTTCGGCGCGCTCGAGCTTGTCTCAATGCTTGGTTCAATGGTTGCCTCGTCGTTCTTGCGGGTGGGGAAATACGAAACGTTTTGTTGTTGCGGCGTATTTCCTGCGCTGCTTGCTACTGCGTGCTTTTGGAATGCAGTCGGTGCTGGGGGGCGGGGGGGGAGGGGTACATGCGAGTAACGTGCAGCGTTTTTTCCTGCATTCCACTCCTTCAGTATGAGAATCATCTCGCAGTATGTCCGTTTTCGTTTGCTTTGCTTCCTCGAGGGCAGTCGGTGGGGGGAGCAAGCCACGTGCAGCCTTTCCTCCTGCGCACGACTCTTCAGTATTAGAAACATCTGGCAGTATCTCCGCTTTTTTGGGAACACTTGCAACCATTCATTTGAGGATAGAATTTGAGATCTGTGGATCCATGATCGTGTGTGTGTCATTTCCTGGGTGCCCGTAAAGAAACCTTGCTCTCTTCAACAAACGTATGCTTGTCATCTTGCCCGCACGCGCTGTTTTCTTTTCTTGTTTCTTGAGACAAGCTCCGCCTACGTCATGACGCCATGGTTTTCTGTCACCTTGGCCGCGGACCTGGTCCTGCGCCATGGCGGGCAGTTGCTTTCGGCTTCTTTGGCTGGTTTTCGAACCTTCTCTGTCGATGACATCGAGGGTGCATTGTTGGGTATTTGCCTCGTCATTTTTCTCATGCGATAGATTTCTCGTTGTTTTATTCTTTCGGAATCTTGATGAGAATGTACATCTTGTGCCAGTCGCCCGGTCCAGCCAAATCGTCACGCGCGCCTTTGTTTTCGCTGAAAGTCGTCGAGGACTGGCATGTAGCTGCCTGCTGTAGCACTCTGCTTTTGTGCTTCAGGGCGACTGCCGTGGAGATGATTGGCGCGCTGTGCTCCAGACATTGCCGCCAGAGCGGCTGGTGTTTTGGTCGCCGTGGGTTGTCGTCCGCATAACGGCCCAAAGTATTCAGCCCAAATGTCCTTGACGTAAAACAAAACGGGCCCTTGTATAAAGAAAAATCATAGCTCCAAGGATGAAACCCCAAGAGTCGCTACCAATCAAAAAAGCACCAACAAGTATTAGGCAAACATGATTTTTGGCCATGTCAAGATGTTGAACTCGCTTAATACCCCAGCTTCGGCACCGAAATTGGGCTTACAATCCACGGCCTTCGCGGACGGTGCACCTAATAGTAGTGGACGTTGTCATAGGCAGCGGCGGCGGCGGCGTACCAAAAATGGTACTGATCGTTGTGACACTGGAAAAGTGCAAACGATGACAACAACAGTAGCAACTGCAGAAAGGGTCATAGGAGAAATGGTACTAATGGCAATAACAAAAATGGCAACACAACAATCGTGACAACATATGAAGATATCAAAACAAGAAAGCAGCCGTATTGCTAGTAGCAACGCTACTTGTAATTGTCAAGATGGAGATTACAGATTTCCCGCTGATGGCAAGAAAAGGCCAACAAAATAGAAGCAGCAGAAAGGTTGAAGCAAAGAGCAGGAAGCAGCGAAGCAACAGGAAGCAAAAGGCAGTTGGCTAGAGACAGGAACAAGAAAAAACAGAGTGCGGAGGCCAGGCAGGGAAGGCAGAAAGCAAAATAAAAACAGACAAAACAATCACCAGCCAAAAGCGGAAGGCCAGAAGCAAAACCAACCGAAACAAAAACAAAAACAGATATGTTCAGCTTTCTTCTGCAGCATTGCTCCTACGACGCAGGTTGCATGTTCAGTGCATCAATCATCTTCAAGGTAAGAAGCCAACAGGGCCCCGCCTCGGCCAAGGTTCCGATGCCATCACAAATCAGTCTACCCTTTCCATCCTTGGCATCCTGAGAGTCGCGGAAGTTGCAGGTTTAGGGTTTTTTTAGGGGTTTAGGGTTTAGGGGAATAAAATGAATAATGGAGTCGAAACGGCAACGCAATGGAGGGCTGGGATGAACATGGCTCAGCTACCAGGTTTCCTGCACCAGCTAGCGCCTGGCTACGGAAATCTACGGAATGACGCTTACCTAACTTGTGGAGCTGAAGAAAGCATCTGAACTGCTAAGAACTACCAAGGCTTGGCAAAGCTGATTCTTCCCTTCCTAGAAGGCGCACAAGGGAGTGCGTGCTGAGAAAAGTTTCACGGAATCAATGGCTTAGAATGCTGCTAACTCAAGAAGGTTGGAGTAGGCCTGACTGAAATCTCCCATCCGGCTGGCTGCTAGTGGTATACCCCCTGCACTGGGAGGCACCTCTTTGTACTCACCTTCATAGATGGCTCCGTTTGCATAAGTGTACCTGACACAAATGGGTTTGGGTTTCTTGGCTGCAGAAAGATAGATGCCTCTCATGATGCAAGGCATGCGCACTTTGCCACACCATGTTTCTTGCCATTTTTGAACTGGCCCTCATAGACAGCTCCGTCGGGCAGGGTCAGCGTTCCCTGCATAAGCGACAATCCAGCGGTTCTGGAGATGAAACACCGAGGATGGAGACAGGAAAGGATAGGAAGGGAGTGAGGGAGAGAGGGGGGGAGGGAGCGGAAGGGAGCGGAAGGGAGTGCGAGAGAGAGAGAGAGAGACGGACAAAGAACAAAACACAGCACTGAAAAGCTGGGTAGAACCTCTCCATTGAAAACGCCGTCTCGACACTGTCCGTTGTAGACCTCGAGCACGTGCGCACACCACTGCCACGAGAACATGGCCCACATCGGTAGGCTCAGCCCAAGCGTGGAGCAGAGCCATCGTCCAGGGTGATGCGGACATCCTGTACGCTGTATGTATCGCTAGAATTGGCGTCATGAAGCCAGTTCTTTGTTCACTGCAAGCGTGATCTGAGCTAGTCCAGGCCTCCAATACGGACCCATCGGTGTCCTGCACATTTGCGGGCTTTGGAGAAACAACGAATTTGCATCAAAGATGTTGACTTGCAAGTAGGAGACTCTTGTGTCAGGCCTGCGGAAGACCAGCTGTTTTTTCATCTGGACGACCTGAGAGGACTCTTCTAACGTCACCCACAGGCTGCAACGCGAAGTAGCTGCAAGCCCTCTTCCTTGTCATGACGATACCGCTCAGCTTCACCCGTTCCGCTTCTTCTTGGTTGGCCTTCCCTCAGCCCTTGATGCTATACGCGTAGGCAAGATCTAAGCCATGCTGCGTATGGTTGGGACTTCAAGCTTTGCAGCCGCTGCCTGCAAGACGTGCATTGACATTTGCATTCACATATGCAATAAACTGCACATACAAGTGGTGTCGAAGTAAAATTCCCATTTTGGCGGGATCCGAACAAAGCGCACAGGTCCAACGCAGGCCTTTGGCAGCGATGAACTGGCTGCTGCACCCTGGCGCACTTTGTTGACTGAGATGTGAAGTCACACGAGAAGACACTGCCACATGGCACGTTGGAAGCGTTGCTTTCTTGTGCCTGCCCCGGTCGCTGCACACCAGCTGCCTCCTGCTGCAACAAGCTGATAGCCAAGCTGTTGTCATGAACGCGCAGACCGCAAATGGTATATCCTCTGCCCCAGGGGTTAGATTCACCTTCGGCACAGGAAGCTTTAAGCGTCACATGGAATCAAGCTGACGCTGAATGTCTCCAAGCCACGACAGGTTGCTTGTCACCGAAGTTGCACTTCGCCGACTGCACAGGAGCTGCTATGCGTGCCAATGCTACTGGACAGCTGAACGGATGCATGGCTCCCATGAGGGTGAAGAAAATGGAAATGCTGGGGGTTCACTGGGTGTAAAAAGATTTGTCTGGCACCCATTCGCCTCGCCGGAGCAGTTGCACGCACCCATTCTTCAGGGCACCTGGATCTGATCTGAAATGCATATGCGTGTCTGCGATCAATCAGCACGGGCCAACAGCCGCCTCCGCTCGAAAAAAGACTACATCCCGTAAGTTTGCCGAGCCGAAACAAGGTCTAGGTCGGCGAGCAAATCACTAGCAACTGCAAGCTTGTCTCCCGGCTGACGCCAGTGGTTGAATCGCACAAGTCCTCCTGGTTCTGCGCCTGACTGCCTGGGGGAAGGCCTGCGCCCTGCTAGATCAACTAGAACCTGAAAGAGTTGGCAAGTTTCTCAGGGACGATACTGCCAATGTTTGGCAGCAAGGATCACTCCCAAACGACTTTTGTGAAACTGTGCTTTCTGAATGGCGAGTGCCAGCATGTTGCCGCTGCTGGGCCCAGACATGTGCTTCAAACAACTCTCGGAGTAAAAAGCACCCAACGAAGTCATGTCGCATGATTTGCCCACCACTGGCATTGCGGCCACTCGCGGACGCCATTTTGCAGATGCGGTTTTCGATCTGCAGTTTCAACAGCATCCCCTGCTGGCGTCAGCCCGGGCCATCGAAGACCTGTGCAGGGCGTCCCATCCATACCAACATCATCAGCAAGAGCAGCGAAATCCCCTACTACTGCTGCTTCAGCTGCTAATACTGCCACTCCCACCACTACTACTACTACTGCTACTACCATTACTCCTACTTCCTACTCCTACTCCTACTCCTACTCCTACTCCTCCTCCTCCTCCTCCTCGGCGGCGTCAAAACAGACCCCTGATGCTGTCACAATGTGTGTTTCGCCACAGCTGGAATGTCATTTTGCTGTATCTCAAGTGGACCTATTCCGGGTCTCTCTTTTGCAACCGCTTGGGTTTCTGAGGTAAAACTGTGCGCCCGTTGCAGGCTTCAGTGTTGTAGAGGGTTCAGAATTTAGGTTTGGGAACATGTCTTTGGCAAGCCGAGAAATACTGACCTTCGCAGCATTTTGGGTACTGTTTACTGCTGGTCCCGTGAGCGAAATGGCACTTACAGATTGTAATTGACGTGATTTTATGCAACAACAGCAGAAACGGTAACATGTCGTTGTGTCTTGCAAGAAAAGTTGTGCGGCAGTAACTTCTTTTTTCAGGAACAGCTTCAGCGTTGCAGGCAGGAACCAATGGACTTGAACAGCACGTCCCTGCTGCTGTGCAAAGACCGCCACTGAAAGCTCCGCGCCGCACGTGCGCAAGCGAAAGTATAGGATACTCTGGCAGGTGGATGCTTTGCCGCACGAACGTCATTAGCAGACGAAATTATGGGATAGTCTGGCACGTGGATGCTGGTCACCGTGTGCTCTTGGAACACGAACGCTATCATAGTTTGGGCATGGGTGCTCTGGTCACCGTGTGCTCTCGGAACACAAACGCAATTATGGTTTGGGCGTGGATGCTCTGGTCACCGCATCCTCTTGGAACACGACCGTTATCATGACGTTATTATGGTTTGGGTATGGGTGCTCTGGTCACCGTGTGCCCTCGGAACACGAACGTTACAGATTATGGTTTGGGGATGGGTGCTCTAGAAAGGGTGGGCGATGCGGAAGCCAGTCAGCTTCAAGAAAGACAAGATATCACAATCCGGAGCGCGACTGTGCAAATCGAAGGAATGAACAAACAAGCCCTCCAGATGGGGATGCGATTTACAAGCCGCTGGCTGCTGCTACTACTACTTCTAATAATAATACTACGGCTACAACTACCACCACCGCTTCCACTGTCACCACCACTGCCACTGCCTGTTGCCGCGGCGACTGCTACCCTGCAATGACCATGGCCACCGCCGAAGTCACCACCAAATGCTGCTGCCAGTGCTTCTGCTTCAGCTGCTGACTGCTCCTGCCACGGCCACTGCCAGCCGCTACTGCCGCCGTCACCGCTGCAGCAACATGCATAGTGTTGTTAGAAAAGCTACTATGATTTTGGATGCTGAGCGCTGGCTTTCGTCTTGCTCATTAATCTGCTGTATTGCATCGTTGCTTTCGGCTGATCTGGTCCTGGCAAACATTGCAAGGAACACCCAGCCGTTGCCTCTGAGTCATAGTCCTGGTCTTCCGCTTCCTCTTCCTCTTCCTCCTCAGCAACTTGCAAGATGGATGAGACTACATGCTTGCAGTCTTGTTCCTAGGTTTGCAAAGACCAGGCATTCATAGAAGTTCACGCCGAAGAAGCACTCACTGCGTCGGCTGATGCCCACTGGTATCTGAGGAGCGCACGTAATCTGAGAAATCCTCAGCCACATCCAAGCCTGAACCTCAAGCCTGACTTAAAACGTCAGCCAGAAATAACTGCTGACATGTGGAGTCTAACAATCTTACAACACCGAGGCGCCCAAATTTGCGAAAGATTCAGAGCAGGCACCAACGTCCTGCGGGAAGCACAACTTTTGCAACGCCCAAACATGCGTCACCATGATGGAAATGTCTGCATGTTTGAAGTTTGAGGAGCTCTGGGACTTTCTATGCCTTGAAGTGAGCAACCAGGCTGCATGTGATGAGCTCAGGCCCTCGCGGGCGCCGACTCGGAGGACGCAGCATAGCAGCCTTGCGTAGATGCAATCAAAGCTGGAGCACATCCTGCGTCAGCATGCTCAGCTGGGAACTGCCAGGGGCTCTGCTGAAGACCATACGGAAGGCAAGGCAACAGTAGCCTGCGACGCAGACGCCGCAATCTTGCAGGAAAGCACGCAAGTGCTGAGTGGAACAAAGCGGAAGCCTCGTGCGCCCGCGCGGCATGCAGCTCTGCGCCCACAACGGCAACATGGCATGACTGCGCCTGCGGCTTACAAAGGCTTGACACCAACATCAGGGAGTGCTCGGGGCCTTTGCTGAGCTGCTGCGCTTCAGCTCAGAGTGGAAACGCCGAACCAGCTCCCGCAGCCTTGAGTGAGCACTATGCCTCTCTAGCTGGAGGGGCTGGTTGGCAGTCCATGAGCTCACAAAACAAGCTGTACTCCATAAAGCTGTTCTTCAGCTACCCAACTCAACATAAGCAGAAATGCAAAGAAATGCCGTCCACCGACTTTGCCTTGCTGCTGCCTACAGCTTGCAGACATATCCATTCCATCAGGAGCCGGCGCTGCATTTTCGCGCTCCAGACGACGGACCTGGCTCCCGAGTCGCTTCAGGCGCAAGCCAACTGAAGGTTGAGAGAGCCTCTTCGCTCGGCTGGGAACCTGAAGTAATTGCTTGGTGAAAAGAAAATGCACCCTCCGATTGCTGCCACATTGCTGATGCATCTGAACTGAGAAGCTTGCGGCTTAAACCCGCTCGCTCTGTTCGCTGAGTATCATCTTGGAAAACATGCAGATTGAAAAAAACAGCATACCTCTCCCACTATTACATTATGTAGCATGTGTAAGTCTCTGACCACCAGGTCCTGCGTCACCCATCCACGGCCTGTCTGGACACCGTAGCGAAGATGCTGCAGATTCACAGACAGCGGCCTTCTCACTGCATCCACGGCAATCTCTGCAGCGCTGGCCTGCAGAGGACATTTCACTTGCGACATCTTGTGACCTAGGTCCTAACAAGTCAGACTGCTCAGACTGCACCTGGCCTTACCGTCCAAGGCCTCGCGCTGCGGACTCTGAAGCACTCTGAAGCTCGGACCAAACTGTGCCCGAGACCGAGCTTTCTCTCCGAGAGCTTGGCAGATTTCTCGCCATGCAAGACGGCCTTGTACGTGGCCTTGCAGTTCTGAGTGTGTCAAGCTGTCAGGAAGCAGCTGAAGAGACGTCACAACAAAACATTCAGACTCGGAAGGCAGTCCTTGATCTCCCGCAAGATGGGCCCGAAGACATCATCTGTGCCTCAGAGGTTCGCAACATCTGCATCATGAAGTTCAACCGCTCAAAGCATGCAGCTGGGATCCGCTGCGAATGATCTCCTCAAAGATGCCAGTCTCTCCTGTGACAGGTATGAACCATCAGATGCTCCACGTGCGCAGAAAGCACTTCAGCGGATCCTGCCCTTCTGGGCGCATTTGAGGCAACAGCGCCTGTCAGTGAGAAGACTTCAGGCAAAGCTGCAGCACGTCCACCACATGAGAAGAAAACATGCACAATGGACTCGGCCTGAAGAGCCAGCCTGCATATGAAAGGGGGTGGGCACTGAAGTCGCAAAAGTATAAGGGAATATTTGCAAGGTAAATCGAGGACCAACCAGGTCTCCACACGGAAGCGAGCAACTTAGAGGGCGTTGCAGGATCCATCCAGGAGGCAGAACGTTTGTTTTTTTCAAGCGGTGGAGAAACTGGGAACCACTGATGCTGATGATGCCAGGCCCTAGGCCATGCAAGTCTGGCCTTCCACCCCTCCCAAACTGCAGATTCACCACACGTATCGCTCGCCAACCAGCTCGCTTTTCAGTCAAACCTGTTCTTGACATGGGGCATGCCCAGGGAATGGCCTCACTACTTTTTCCGACCACATTAACATTGATCTGATTGCTTTGGCATGTGGGTCCCTTCGAAGGGCATGCTCTCAGACATACACGTACTGCTTGAAGCTGACTGGATTGCTCTGCGCTGCTTCCTGCAGGAGAATGACTTGCAGCTGGGGCACAAAGAATACATGCAACATTGCGTTCCATGCATTGCAAGCCTCTAGAGTAAAGATGTCATGCAGAGCACACATGACGTACTGGTCCATTATTGCTTTGTTGGACCCATACCCCAACCCTCCTGCCCAAACCGCAAGCCTAAACGGTCGTCACACAACAAGCAGCTACTCAGGGTCGGGATGTCTCACACTAGCTGCTGAGCACCACAGCCGACCCAACGTGAAAGTTCATTTTCCGTCTTCAAGTCTTGCTGCCTGTGTCCTCTCGCAGTGTCCCAGCAGACCTGCCAAACACCAATCCCGCTTAATCCGGGCTTGGGCTCAATCATGCAAGGCATTGCAGGCCTGCTGACTGTGCTCGCTGAAGAGACATGCCCTCCTTGCGAGCTTGCACGGCCGCCGCACAGTGTGC